ATTCTCATAAAAGTGAGAAACATACAAAACGGAATGGTAAGAAGCAGAAGTTAATCAAGCAGTGTGATATAGTTTTAGGGGAACCCTCTGTTTCTTGAGGAAAAGAAATGGAGGCAATTGCTGGGTTGGTAGCTGGATCTCACAAGCGCAATGACTTGGTTCGGATTCGGCATGATTCTGATTGTGGGGTATGCTTCTTCAATTTTCTGCTTTATTACTCCTAATTCCTTTTTTACTTTTCTGTTCTTAATTCAATAGAGGTGTTTAGATCTGATTGTTGATAATGTGATTGTGAGATTTCTGATAAAGTTTTTATCTTTTCATCAATTTGGACATCAAAGTGTTCCATTACTTCTTTAACTATTAGGGCTTGTAATTTGGTTGTTCAAGTAGAGTGACTGAGTGAGTTTTTACACCAAGACTGTTTTTTTCCAATGATTTGGAAGTTTATTGATGTTACTTTTGTTTCCGATTTGATTCCTTCATATGCTTCAATTTATTGCTTTTCATTTAGGATGTGAATTTTGAACAGCTTCAAGAAATATATATATATATATACATCTGTAAGTGAAAAGACGATAGAGAAGAGACAGGCAGTATAAGAGAAAAGAAATCTATCGACTAGTGGATAAAAAAGCCAAAGCACATAGCAAAACTTTAGTTAAAATTTAGGAATTATCTCACAAGATTTTCTCCTAAAAACTCGACAACAACCTACTTTAGAACTACTTTCTAAAGATTAGGACAAACTAAATGAATACACATTTCATTTTCATTTTCTAATGTCTTCCCTTAAAGGGATAAGGGTCTAAAAAATATCTCAACTTTGGTCGGATTTGCTGTTGCGATACTAAACTTTCATAAGGACCTATTACCTCCCTAGACTATTTAATACCGTATTTTAAACATATATATTTGCCCACGTGGACATACCGTATTTTAAACATATATATTTGCCCACGTGGACATACCGTATTTTAAACATATATATTTGCCCACGTGGACATACCGTATTTTAAACATATATATTTGCCCACGTGGACATACCGTATTTTAAACATATATATTTGCCCACGTGGACATACCGTATTTTAAACATATATATTTGCCCACGTGGACATACCGTATTTTAAACATATATATTTGCCCACGTGGACATACCGTATTTTAAACATATATATTTGCCCACGTGGACATAAAAAATAATGCAAAATTATAAATAGTAATGTGTCCACGTGGGCACATATATACCTTTAAAATACACTATTAAATAGTTCAGGGAGTAAAAAATACGGTATTAAATAGTCTAGGGAGGTAATAGGTCCTTATGAAAGTTTAGTATCGCAACAGCAAATCCGACCAAAGTTGAGGTATTTTTCAGACCCTTATCCCTCCCTTAAATTGAAAGCTTTCAAGCTTCAGTTTATCTTCAATTTCTTTACTTCTTCCATGGTGTAAAGTCCTAATGATATTCTCAGGCTTTGGAAAGAAAGTAACTAGAGAGGTTTTGTGAAAATATCCACTAGTTGGTCTTCACTTCAGCAATATTTTAACTTTATTGTTCCTTCATTGTTGAGATCTTGCAGAAAATAATACTTTACATCAATATGCTTGCTTCTTGTAACACAAGATTTTTTTGATAGCTTGATGGTAGAGCTGTTGTTGCTGAAAATTGTAGTTCCTCTTTTCTTGTTTGAATTGTAGTTCTTCAAGAGTTCTTCTCAACCAAACAACTTGACAAGCACAAGCAGTAGCAGCAACAAATTCCGCTTCAGTACTCAATAAAGTGACAATTTTTTGCTTCCTGGAAGACCATGAAACAATTCCTGTTCCTCACATAAAAACATAACCTGAATTGCTCTTTCTGTCGTTTTGATCTCTTGCATAATCACTGTCTGTAAAACTAAGCAAACTAGATTTCCCACTCTTCTTGTAGAACTAACCAAAATCCTTAGTTCCTTGTAAGTAGGGAAGGATTCTTTTGGCAGCTAGCAGGTGAATTTCTATTGGGTTCTCCATATATCTGCTTATAAGACTTACAACATACATGATGTCGGGCCTTGTAGCAGTAAGATACATCAGGCTACCTACAAATGGCCTGTAGAGTATGTTGTCTACCATATCTCCTCTTCCATCTTTGCTTAGCTTCAGGCCAAACTCAAACGGAGTATTGGCAGGATTGCAATTCTTCATCTTGAATTGGTCTAAAATTTCCCACGCATATTTCTTTTGGGAAACAAATATCCCATCATCTAATTGCACTACTTCTAAACCAAGAAAATAATGCATCTTACCAAGACCAGACATCTCGAATTCATCCATCATAGACCTCTTGAAATCAAAAAACATGACACTATCATTTCCAGAAAATATATGATCATCAACATATAAACACACAATGAGCATTCTCCCAAATTATCCTATTTTAACAAAAAAAGATTGCTCATATGGACATTTGAGGAAACCAACTCTTAGAAAGTAAGCCTTTATGCGACTATACCAAGCTGGCGGAAAACAAGCCTTTATGCGACTATGCCAAGCTCGCGGAGTGTGTTTTAGTTCATAAAGAGCCTTTTTTCAATTTGTATACCTTATGCTCATTTCCAATTTTAATTTAACCAAAAGGTTGTTCAATAAATATCTCTTCCTCCAAGGCCCCCAAGGCCCCCAAGGCCTAGCTCAAGTGGCAAAAGGTGGAGGATTTGTGGCTTAGGTCGCAGGTTCATGCCCCACACCATGCAAAACGAAGCCCGGTATTTAAGTGGAGAAGGGTAGAGGGGCGGGCCCATTATCCACCGAGTTTAGAAGGCTGTGATTGG